GCATCTTCTGCAAGTCATAGGCATGTCTCCAACGCAAAGTGCCAAGCAAAGGAGAAGCCAGGCTGAGACACCAGACTGTAATTCAGCCACTCAACATCCCTGCTTTCAGGATTAATACAGAACAGTCTCCTGCAGCAAGGGAGAAGTCCTTTTAGGAAAGACAACAAGGTCCTTTGGATATTGGAGGTATTGGACTGGGACCAAACTCAGCCAGGCTGGATATGCCCAGACCACACATGGCAGCTTCAAAGCATCCAAAGACCTGTCCCATCTGCTGGTGCCCAGTGTGGCGGCTCCAGGTAGCTCTGTGGAGACTCTGCCACAGGGTGGGGGACTGTGGCCAGAGGGTTTGTATGTACCACCAGCTCTGGGTGTAGCTGGGACAGGCACAGCTGCGTTGTGCAGACCTAGTGCCCATAAGAGGCATCCAGGAGAGTGTAGGGGTAGCCATGGTGTGCAGAGCTCCCTGCTTGCACCATGTCTGAGGAAGGTGATGGATTCTTTTTTCCCCTGCTTCTTTGGGCTCACTTTGGTTGCAGGGAGGACCTTCTCTGAAGCCTCCAGCCCCACAAGTTTCCAAGTGAATGAGATGGTCATTGCAGGGGTAGTTTGAAAGAGGTGGGGGAGAGATCCCTCCCATGGGGCATGGGAATTTCCTTCTACCAGAGACCCCAGGAGACAGCTGTGAGAGCCCATGCACACCATGGAAAGAACAAGCCATCCCACAGCAAGCGTGTCCTGCCTCCTGGCTCCACAGCCTGCTCCCAGGTCATGACTCACTGCAGAGCCATGCACAGCTGGATTTCCACTCCCTGCCCCACAGGCCTCTGGTTTACAGCTGAAAATCTGCAATGACATCCACTGCTTCTTCTTCATCTTCTTCTGGCAGTCAGCACCCCATTTTCCTGCATTGTCCCATTGAACCTGCTCACCTCCAGTCCCTCTGCAGGGCACTGAGGCTCAGGTTCTCCCGATCCAGGTATTGGAAGAGACCTTGGCTGGGTTCAATCTGTTGCATCTGGACCAGGCATCAATCCTACTGCTGAGTGCAAGGAGAGTCCCATCCCACCATGGAGAAGTCCCTGCCCCATATAAGACAAAGAGCCACCCTCGGGCAAGTTCCCAAGGCCATTTGGGTTCATCTTGCCCTGTGCAGATGGTCCTGCCAGTGACCAAACATCTGCTTAGTGCAACTCCAGAGAGCACAACCTTTCTGCCTCAGATCTGCTTCTGAAATGGAAAAAACCAGAAACCCTCCCGCAGGACCTGCTGACACACTCGCAGACAGCAGGAGAGCTGGGACATTCCTGGGATAAGCAGATTCCTGTCTGCTCTGCACTTACTCATCTCACTCCCCTTTTTCTGAGCTGGGTGCTGGGTTCCCACCACAGCAGCCGCTGCCTTTCCCTGCTCTGCTCTGTGCCTGTGAGGAGCTCAGCCTCCAGCCACACACCCAGTGATGAAGACTTAGTAAATGACATTCCCGCAGTGGTTCCAGGGCATCCTGTTTATTTATGTGCACTTTGGGTTCATTGTTTTGCAGGAGCATCCACCAGTGATTAATGCAGAAACATCCTCTCCAGAAAAACTCATGAGAGAATCTCTCCCAGAGCAGAGAGATAGAAAGGCTCCTTAGATTGACAGCTTTGTGAGTAGGAGACAGCAGGATTATTAATCCTTACTTGTATCACTTCCACTAAGCTGCTCACTCGCATTTCTCTCCTTCTCTTGCAGCAGAATTGTTCCCCTCTTGGAGAGCAGTGGGGTTTTCTCAACTGCACCAGCCCAGATCTGCCCAACTGAGCTTAAAATGGGATGAAGAAATTTGGATTTTGAACTGAGGTTAGCTGGAGTTCAAACCTCAGCCCTGCAAACCTCTTGGCTTTGCTGTCAACTGAGCTTCAGCCTCGAGGGGTCTTGTCCTGTTTGCTGTTTCCATCAGAGTTGGTGTGGTCACTTGAGCTGGAAGCGAGTGCCTGGAGCCCTGGGGTGCATCAGCTGTGCCCAAACCACCCTACTGGGACATGGTCGGAGAGCCCGAGTGGGTCCTGCAGGGTCAGCAGCACTGCGAGGGCACCCAGGGCTGATGAGACCCCTTGGGCAATCTCCTGCCCATCCAGTGCCTCAGATGGCACAAGATGACCTTCTAAGCATGTGTGAGGTCCAGTTTTCCTCCTGGTAGCCTGACACCCAAATCTCCTCTTTGACAACCCCACTAAGCCTTTTAAGTGCGGAGAAGAACTTTCAGGACTTCCTTTGCAAGCTCTCAGTCATTTCTGGAGCTTCTTAAAGCTGCTGAGATTAAAGAGTCACCCAGTTCCTCCATGCTCTTGTTTCCCTCTCTGTGCGATTCCCCTCCGTCCCACTGCTGACACCACACACCCAGGCCTGGCAGCGTGCCCCTCACGAGATGCAGGACCTGACTGTCCCCAGCATGTGCACAGAGGACCATGAGGACCCCTCACTCCCACCCACCTGGGGCTCACCAGCATGAGCTCAAGGGCCACTTCCAGATGTGACTGCATCATTGCAGCAGGCTGCTTTTTGCTTTCACGCAAAGCCAGGGTTTAAGCCGCCACGTATATAAAGAAATCCCTCTTATAATTATTGTCCTGGCACTGTCATTTGTCTAAGCCCTTAGAAAAGGGCTTAGCTTCAGGCTACAGTGAAGACCACTAAGCAATTGCCACGTTGTCAGTGAGAGAAGACGTGGTTTCTTTTCTCTTCTTTTTTTTTTTTCCCTCCCTAAAATTTTTTCCAGATGTCTTTTTTTTTTCCCTCAGGAGAAGTACCAGCAGCTGTGCAACTTCAATGCGAGCCGTGACTAATCCAGCGCAGAGAGCATTCAACAGGAGCACTCAACTCCTTGAGGTGTGAATCGAGCAAATGAAAATTTAACTCAGGGGACATGTGACCTCCAGAGCCAAAGTGGACCTGCAAGTGGCACTGAGCTGCACATGGGAGCTGTGAACACTTGTGGTGGGAGAAGATGCTCCAAATGCCACAGGTGTTAGAAGGATCCATGGGGTCTTAGACACCATCACAAAGCTGGCCTCCACATGGACCCAAGAGGTTCGAGTGAAGTATTTATGGATGTCTTCATGAGTGATATCAACATCCACATATCAGCACCCAGGGGTGGCTTTTGAGTGGTGTGTAGCCAAGTAATGAGTGAAGAAGACTTTGTTCTCTTGTTCTTTGCTGCCAGCATCCCGAGCTGCCTGATCACAGAGGCTGATCATCTCACTGGGCAGTAATGATGGTTTCTCATGGCCCCCTCCCCTATTTGCCCCCTCCCCTTTCCCTTTCTGTTTTATTTTTTGTTTCTTGTTGGCCATATGGATGTTTAGTCTTACATCTGCTTCTTTCACATGCAGCAGAAGTGCCACGAGGCCGGATGAGGAGTGGGCTGATAAAGAATCACAAATCATGAAGAGCAGGGAGCCAGCACAGCCTGGCAGGTTGTGACAGGCCAGTTCCTATGTTGACATCTAAATCCTCGGCAACATCAGTGAGAAGAGTTAAGCACCCAGATCAGTGTCTCAGTTCCTCTCAAAGATAATGTGTAATCATGAGGAGGGAACCCAAACCCCAGGCAGCCAAGACAAAACATGATGTTGCATTTTGTTATGGTCTTGGGTGTCCTTCACTCAGCATCTGCAATCAGAGTGCTGGTGCCCAGATGACTTGTCCTCAGTCCTGCTGGCTACAAGCCACCATCTTTCCAGCAGCCCCTGGAGAGCAACCTTGTGTTGCCCTGGACAGGGTGGTTGGTGCCACAGGTGGATCACAAGCTGCAAAGAGCTGGACTATCTACAGGGCTCAGGACAGCCCTGTGTGTCATGGAGACACTCTTCAGGGACACCCAAATTCAAGCAATATGACAGCCTCTTTGTTGGTTTTACTTTGAGATGCAGTGCCATGGCCATGCTGGTGCATAAAGGGGTGCTGTCTGCTTCTGCCAGAGGAACAGATGAACCTTAAATCCTTGCAGTTATGGTGGGATGGAAGGAGAGAGGAGCTAAGTTTTCACCCTGAGCATAGAGAGGAACACCTGGGAAAAGTGAACTCCAAACAGCTTTGCCTGTCTGGCTGCCTCTGGCTGGGCAGCTGCTCCAGCTGAGTTATGATCTGTAAGGTCAAAAGACTTAGTGATGTCTGAAGGAACCATTGGATTCAACTGACCGGCAATTTTGTCCATGGGTTCTGCTCAATTGGTCCAGATCTGCTGGACAATAACCACAGCAGAGAGACCAGTCTGCTGAGGGTCACATCTACCAGCCCAGCATTTCTCTGCTTACTTGGAACATATTTCAGACATGTCCTAACTCTCCATATTCTCTGGATCATTCTTTTCTCTCCCTCCCCACAAGGCAGTCCCAGATGGTAGCAGTGTTAGGAGAGAGGATGGAGGTGTGAGGACTCTCTTGCCTTCCTCTGTATCCCCCTGAGGATGGGAAATACCAGCTCAGGGACTGAACTACCCTGTTGTGAAATGAGAGCATTTAATATTAACATTAATATTAACATTAACATTAAAACATTAACATTAACATAACCATTAAATGCAGTAGGCCAAGGTGCTAGAAGATGCACAAACCAAGCAGAGAGGTGCTGTTCCTCCTTGCTCCCCCATGCTGTCAGTCTGAGAGAGCCAGAGAGCTGACAAATTCATCGCAACAGTGCCAGCAGCTGCTGTGACAATGACTGTGCTGGGAAGGTCGCACTGGGAGCTGATCTGTCCCTGCGAGATACGAGAGACCCCCTTGATCTCCAGCCCTGCTTGATTTCTCTGGTCTAACCCTTTGGCCCCAGTCTGTGCCTCAGCTCGTGTCTTTCGGGCGGGTGGGACTGCCCACTGGGGAGAGAGGGAGAGGAAGAGACTGATTTGGAAAGATATCGAGGAGGAGGAGGAGGAGGAGAGGCAGCAGGAAACCCAGCCCACCCTTTGGCTTCCTCCTGCCTCCTTCTAAAACCTGCAGATTCCTCCAGCCTGTCCAAGCGCCTGAAGTTTTCTCAGCCCTGCTGCCGGGACTGCGAGGTATGGCCCGAGCCCTTCGTGTTTGCCTTTGCTCTGCTCTTTCTCCTGGCATGGGGGTCCCCATAGCTCTATCTGTGGGGGTCCCTGGCCTGGGAGCTGCTCTCCCAACCCATGGGGTGCATCCAGTGCTCAGCAATGCATCACTTGGGGTCCCACAGCATCCACCTTCCTATCCTGAGTGATGCATTTAGAGACCTCTCCTGACTTCTCTTTCTGCTTTTTGCAGCATCTCCGCTCCTAAACTGAGTCTGTCACTGTATTTCACCGCCCGATTTACCGATTACCAGCTTTAACACTTTGGTGACATCTGACTGTAAAGGTTTAACCTGCCCTAATTTTTCTCTCTCCTCCCTTTTCCCCCTCTGGGTTTTTAGTTTTGGGGTATTTCCTTAGGGGAGATGTGTGAGACCAATGTCTGGGCACATCAAACCAACCTGCAGAGCACATCAGACCTAGTTACAAACCAGTCCCCGTTACACCCAGCCTGAGGTGCACTGGCAGGGGATGTTTTACTCACCAGAATATCTAGAGGAAGAACAAAAGAGCCGTTGACTTCATCTCAGCTGCTTTTTTTTTTTCAGTGCAGCCGCTCTTATTTCTCCTAAAAAAAAAAGAAAAGACACTCGGCTTTTTGTTCCAAGCAAACTTTGAAACCATTTCAAGTCCCGCTGCCTTGGTTTGCTGAACTCCAGCTGATAACTGTTAGAGAGATGGAGGTTGCAGGAGAGGAGGAACAAAGCTCCTCGGGTTCCTTTTTAGTTTTAAGAACTTGGGTTCAGTCAGGCACAATTTTAGGTCCACGCAGAATTACTGAGGACTTGTTTCCTTTAAAGGCAGCCGCTGTCCTTTCCGTCCTGGTGACATGCGTGGCATCTAACATGGTTCTTTGTGTCCCTCCTCTAAGAAAGCTCCACTCATTGCATCCAGTCAAGAAAAGGAAACTTAAGGGGTTGGGGGCTGAATTCCCACCCAAACTGGAAGGCAATAGTTTCAAATTGGAGTGAAATCAGGAGCACCGGGAAGGTCACCAGTGCTTCCAGCACTCGGTTACTACCAACTTGAAACAGCCCAAAAACTCAGCAACCCTCCAAAAGGACAGGAGTAAATCGCAGCCGTTCGTTAGGGTCGATCAGGAGAGTTTTAAGTGGAAATAAAAGGCTGTCGCGTTCTGCGCAGCGGTTAAAGCCAAGCCATTGTCTGCCACATAGGCAGGAGCAGGGATGCGGGCGGTGTTGGGAGGGGGAAGAGGAGAAATAAACTTTTCAAACTTTTTTTCAAGCCCCTCCTTCCACAACCCTCTGCTCTTCCATGACTCAGCCCCAGAGGAATGTCGGCTCCCATGGAAACCCTTTCTGGGTCCTCTGGTCGGAGGGATGTCGGGGCTGTTATCGCTGGAGCAGCTGTGGCAAGGCAAGCCGAGGGAATGCTTTGAAGATGGTTTGCATTTTTGCAGAATATTTAGGGGATAGTTTCTTCTCTCTCTCTCCTTTGTGGACTTGTGTGAGATCAGTTTGCTGTACCCCCCGCCCCCGAGAGCCAGAGGGACCGCTGGCACCTGGCACAGAAGAAGCCAGGCTGCTTTTGGCACTGCCCCATGTCCAGTCCAAACAAAAGAAAAAGCTCAGGCAGGACAGTAAAATGCTGTATCGCTTCCCCTTCCAACTGAGGTCTGCCAAGAGCTCATCCCTGAACCATTGCTTGCAGCCCAGGTCTTATCCATACCCTTTTCTTGGTACTAATTTAATTGTTTCCCATTATGGGTGCAATTTGCCACCCAGACAGCTATGACAGCTTCAAGCCTGCACACAACTATGGCAGCAGATGGGCTCTTGCCCTGATATCAATAAGCCCTGTAAGATCTGGAGCACTTATAAGTGCAATCAGAGCTGCTTAATCAACCCCCTGCATGGGGAATGGGTTAATTCAGTGCTGTGGTGTAGACATGTCTCTAGTGACTCTTCATGGACAGATGTGGTAGATAGATTTCTTTTTTCCTGTGTTTTACTGGGAGTGTGTAAGGGTGTGCATGAGCTAAAGGGAATTTCACTTCCATCTAAATGTAGCTTGGTTTTCTGAGCCTGCACACTGCGTGCAAAGGGACTGTGAAGGCGGCAGGAGCCAGGCTGGCTTCTCCCAAACCCTCTGCTCCTGTCCTGCTCCCCTGGGACCCAGGGCAGCTGCAGCACAGCTGGGACACGCAGGGACCTGTTCAGCAGAGAGCTTTATGGGGACTCAGGAAAACAACGCTGGCTTCAAACCAAATTTTTAACCCAGGAGTGGCCAACTGAGTAAAGCTCAGAGGGTCTCGCTTGCATGGCCAGGTCAGGGCCAGACATTGGGGTCACAGTCCTCGTACTGCACCTCTATGGTGGCCGCACTTGGTCACCCATCTGCATCTTGAAAACTGTGGCCCATGGTTGGGTGTGGTTTGTAGGCAGAAGTTTTTCCAGGCCAGTCCTTTCTTTACATTCAGTCTGAGGTGCTGGGACATGTCAGACCCTGCAGAGCCTTGGAAGAGCAATGAGCAAACAGAGGGTGGGTGCAGCAGACCCTGCCTCTGAGGCTGGCTGGCTCCCAGCTGCCTCCCACAGGGCCAGGCTGGGGGGCAGGTGGGGAGATGAGATGTGGAAGGGTTTTTGCCCAAGGATTACCCACCCAAACCCTCCCAACATGGTTAGCTAGAGGTGTAGGCAGCTGGGGTTATCCCAGTGGCCTCAGGGAGGAGCCCTCAAAGTGGCCAGGCAAAGACTCCTCCCCACGCTAACGTGGCATCCCAAAGGGCTTATGTAACCCTGGCCAGGGCCAGCACCACATGGGCCATGCTCTACCATACATGGAGCTTCCTCTGGAGCCTGCACCCACCTGGCCCTTGTCCTCCTCCAGAGATAACAGGGACCAAAAAGACCTCAGGGGCACAAACTCTCCTTTGTGCATCACTGTGGAGTGTTTTCCCCAGTAGAAGAAACTTATGGTGCTACAGGATTGAGGGGAAGGAGGTAAAGAGTTTGCCACAGTAGCCTGCTTTGAATTTATGGAGGTGCTGAGGGTCAGTCTCAGAGCTCTCTCCACCCCATGGCTCTCCTGTTAGCAGCACGGCTGTAAAACACCCCGAGCAGCCTGCACTGCAAGACAACCAGGGCCACACCAGAAAGGGAGCCCACGAGGCTGTGTTTACACAGCGACTGGGAATTGACTTAGGACACAAGTGGGGTCAAGCATTAGGAAGGCAGGGCAGGCCATGAGGCCTGCAGCCCATGGGTGCCAGGTGCTCTCCTCCATCCCCAGCAGCCAGGAGGTCAGGCTGCGGAGGGGATGGTGACCATGGAGGCTTCTCTAATTTTATATTCAGCAGCCCTCTCTATGCCCAGGATGTGCTGGTTTCCAGTATGTCTTGCAAAGTGCTGTTGATTCCTTTACGATACAGAAGGGTATGAGTCCCTGCTTGCTAAAATCTCTTTCCCAGCTGTTTTCCTCTGTCCAAAATCACCTCCTGCTGCACCCCATTGCTCTGCCCCTCACACTGCCCTCTGCCCTCCATGGGGCTCTCACAGAGCAGTACCAGGCATTCCCAGTGCAGGACCACTGGCAGGGATCCCCCCGAGCCCCTCTGGCTGGGGGATGGATGCTGAGCTCATGGTATGGTCCAACTACCAGCTCCAGAGCATCTTCTTGGACAGCAGGACCGTGGTAGGTCCACAGGGAGGGAGACTTGCACCAGTGACTTGCACCATGGGCCAGGCTCTTCTGCTGGAGCAGCTCTGCGTGCAGGGCTCCTGAGCTGTTATTTCAGGGCTTTTGGCCACCAGGCATTTAGAAAAGACCATGGCTTTGCAAAACAGCCAGGGGCTCACAGATGCTGCAATGTCCTCTGTGCACAGGCTCTGCCTCCAGGAGGATGTTGTTTTTCAAATAAACTTGTTTTCCCATCTCCGGCGTGAGACAGCTCTGCAGAGCTTGTTTGCTCAGACTCTTTCGAGCTCCTTCTTCCTCCAAACACAACACTGGCAGCTCTGACTGTCTGCTGGCTCCTAGCAAGCATGTAATTCCCTGACCCCAGCTTGCTGCATGCCCAGACTTTCAAATTCAGGGTTTTTGGGGGCTTGGGGAAATAATCTAAGAGGGCCTTGGTCTGGGGTTGGTTTCTTCTTAATGCCATCTTCCACATGTACACCCAGTGCCCTCTGCTCCGGGCTGGGCACTGCTGTGTTTCTGCCCAACGAGCATCACTGAACCTCAGAGCATCTTCCAAAGCAAACAAGCCCCTTGGGAGAAGCCCAAAAGGAGCCTTTACAAGCCAGAGGATAGCAGAAAGGGAGAAGATGGCCAGATTCACCAGTACTTTTCCACCTCCCCCCCTCCAACCCACCCCTCCAGAAGTGAAGAACCAGTGATCTCTCCTGGCAGATGCTGGCAGAGCTCAGCAGCCTCCAGAGCAAATAAAGGCGAGGGGAAGGGACAGCGTGTACCGAGCGGGAGAGGAGGGAGCTGCTCAGCTGCAGCCTCACCAGAGCAAAGGGGGTCAGCCCCTTCCACCCGCAGCCCCTCTGCCCACAGATCCTCCATCCCACCCCACAGCCATCCCCACCACCCCATGCTCCCAGCCCTCCGGCGTCCCTGGGAAGCTGCCCCCCATGCCCTGACACTTATTTTGCACAGGCACCCAGCCAGGGTGAGGCTTTGAGATTGGAAGGGAGGGTTTCAGCCTCTGCGTGGCCAAAGGTTGGACATGAGGAAGCACAGCCTGGCCCAGCTGCTGCCCCAGCAGCACAGTGTTGGCACAGTTTTCATAGAATCATAGAATCATGGCATGGTCTGGGTTGGAAGGGACCTTAAAGATCATCCAGTTCCAACCCCCCCTGCCATCAGCAGGGACACCTTCCACTAGACCAGGTTGCTCAAAGCCTCATCCAACCTGGCCTTGAACACTTCCAGGGAGGAGCATCCACAGCTTCTCTGGGCAACCTGGGACAGTGTCTGACCACCCTCACAGGAAAGAATTTCTTCCTAATGTCTAATCTAAACCTACCCTCTTCCAGCTTGAAGCCATTAATTTATACCCAGAGAGATGCTGTGCATGGGGAAGATGTGTGGGCAAATTAGATATCCATCCATGCTCACTGGGAGAGAAGAAGACACCGTGTCCATCACTGTCCCAGGGAGCCAGTGGGCTGCAATGCCCCGGCCATGCAGGTGGAGTGAGCGGAAGGGAATCAGCGGAAGCCTTGGCAGGGGGACAAGTCCCCTGGCTGGCAGCAGACAAACGGGGGGTGTTTTGCTCTCCTGGCAGGCGGAAGGGAGCGGGCAGCCCTCGCTGTCACGAGCGGGATGCCACCAGCATATTAAGCAGCCAGCTGAGCTCCTCTCTGCCCTCACACAGAGGGGCTCAAACCTGCCAAACAGGAACTGGGGGGGACAAGGACAGGGCGATTTCACCAGCTGCGCTCTCCTGGCTCACATCGTGGCCGGTGTTAGCTGGGCTGCCTGGCTCACTCATCCTACAGAGTCCCTGCAACAGCCCAAAATGGAGAGGGTCCAAAGGGCTCATCCTCCTGGAGTTCATCTCCTGGCAGGACACAACCCCAAAGTGTCCTGGATCCCTCAAAGTTTAAGGACTTTCAGGTTGGAGCTGAATAAGAAAAAACCTATAGCAAAGAGCTCAACATTTGAGGGTGCTGGGGATGTGGGACTTGTCCCTGATATACCCCTAGAAATGTCTGTGTCCATGTGGGAAAGGGTTTTCTACAGGATTTAATTCTCAAGTGCCCCATCTCACTGTCTTTCTTTTCTCTCTTTCCTTCCTCCACTTTCATTTTTCATCTGATTACCAACTAGAATGGTAGAGAGTTTCATTGCTTGTAGCTGGGGCTCATATCAGGGGTTTTTAACATGAGAAATGGGATTTTAGGTCTAACAAACTTCTGTGAAGGAAAGAGGAGCTGCTATTTTGACTGCAATTTTTCGAAAGGCATCCACGAAAGCAACAGAAATCTAAACCCCATCCCATTTTAAAAGAATTTGTCTTGGAAAATCAAAAGAATTTGTCTTGGAAACATGATTTGGCTTAAGGTTTTGGCTAGAGAAACCAGCATGTGGGGCTGTAATATTGAACAGACAAGGCAGGAAACGAAGAAAATGCCCTTTTCTCGGTGTCTGAGTGCCAGCCATGAGCTCAGCCCGGAGCCGAGCGGCACGCAGTTGCCTCCTTCCTCATCCCTCCTTTTCCTCTCCTTTATTCAGGGCTTGCTGAAAGATGAGGGCCTGGATTTTTTTCCTTCTCTGCCTGGCAGGCAAAGCCCTGGCAGCTCCGGTAAGTACAGGAGACAACAGAACCTCTCTGCTGTTGGGGTTGTCCATCTGATGGGGATTTTTTAATATAATGAATAAACCCCTGAGAGATGGGGGGCAGTGGGGGAACAGGAAACCTGAGGGTAGCCCTGTTGCCCTGCCCTGGTGGGTCACCTCCCTTGGGACTGTTTTCCCCATGGACCCAGCTCATGGTCCTTTTCCCCTGCAGCAGGAGGCTCTGCCTGATGAGACAGAGGTCATCGAAGACCCCACCACAGAGGTAGGTGACTCTGCTCCTCCTTGTCACACATCCCTTGCAGCACCCACTGTCCTGGGAAGAGCATCTCCAAAGCTCGAGAGAGCAGGGGCAATGGGGGGAGGGGGGGAGGTCAGGAATGGGGTTCAGGTCTTTTTGCACCTCTACTAGACACACCGACCTTTTTTGCAGGAGCCGGTGGGGGCCAACCCCGTCCAGGTGGAGGTGGGAGAGTTTGAGGAACCCACAGAAGATGTAGAGGAGATTGTTGCAGAGAGTAAGTCACTTCTCCCCTGCCCTCCAGCAGGCAGAGACACCATCCCTTCCCTGGGGTGGGGAAACTTTAGCCACCCCAATGAGGGATTTCCTTGGGAAGGGTTGTAGCACAAGGATAATGCCAACCTAGATGCACACTAAAAAGCAAGAGGTACATAACCCAAGTGCTAACGTGGGCTTCTGGAGACCTTTATATCTTCCCAGTGCAGGGCAAGGTGCTTGAGGCTGTCCCTGGTGAAGTCTTTGTCTTCCCTCTGTGCTGAGATGCTCGGGCAGCTCGTGGGAGGTGAGGATGGGGCAGGCTCTGACTTTGCTCCCTGTCCTCTCCCAGACCCCTGCCAGAACCACCACTGCAAGCACGGCAAGGTGTGCGAGGTGGATGACAACAACTCACCCATGTGTGTGTGCCAAGATCCCTCCAGCTGCCCAGCCACCGCCGGTGTCTTCGAGAAGGTGAGGACAGAAGCTGCTTGATGGACCAGAGTAGGGAGGGACCTCACATGGGACATTGCCAGGGATGGTGGAGGAGACAGTCAGGGTCAGAGTGGCAGGTCACCAAGAAGCTATTATCCACTCCAGAAAACAAGTTAAACATCTTGTTTGGAGGCTCTCCCTGCCGACCCCACTGCAGGGCTGGGCTTCACTGTCCCTCACGCAGCATCTCCTCGTCCTGTGCAGGTCTGCGGCACTGACAACAAGACCTATGACTCCTCCTGCCATTTCTTTGCCACCAAGTGCACCTTGGAGGGAACCAAGAAGGGACACAAGCTGCACCTGGACTACATTGGGCCTTGCAAATGTAAGTGCAGCTGTTCCCTTAGACAAGGGGACCCCTAACCTGAGCAGAAGCCCCCTTGCCCATGGGCTGAGGGAGAGCAAAGGTCCAGGCAGATGCAGGGGTGAGGTGGGAGGGTGTTGGGGCTGCATGTCCAGGAGCTGTGCTGACCACCATGTGTGGCTTCCAGTCATTCCTGCCTGCCTGGACACAGAGCTGACCGAGTTCCCCCTGCGCATGCGGGACTGGCTCAAGAACGTGCTGATCACCCTGTACGAGCGCGATGAGGACAACAACCTGCTGACCGAGAAGCAGAAGCTCAAGGTGAGGGGTTGGGGAGGGAACCTGGGAGTTCACCTTGCCAACGGAGCCCAGCACATATGGGAAGCCCATCCAGAATGACCTGTGGGCATCCCACATAAAGCCTTTCCAGGGGTCAACCCTTGCACCCCATTCCTGGGCTGACAAGGTCTCCTTGGCCTCTCCTATGACAGGTGAAGAAGATCCACGAGAACGAGAAGCGCCTGGAGGCTGGTGACCACACCGTGGAGCTGCTGGCCCGTGACTTTGAGAAGAACTACAACATGTACATCTTCCCTGTGCACTGGCAGTTTGGGCAGCTGGACCAGCACCCCATCGACGGGTGAGTGTCTGCAGAGCAGGACAGAGACCCCTTCCTGCACGAAGACAGGGTGATTTGGTGGCAGAAGGTGTCAACCTGGAGATGTGACACAAGGGGGTGGCTGGTGGCAGAAGCACAGGTGAACCCCTGTGGAGGGACAACCCCTGCACACATCTGGCAGGGGCTGGGGCAAACCATGCTGGGGTTGAGGCAGTTTTACTTTCTGCAAACAGCAAATCTGCAGAAAGAGGGGCCTCCTCCAGCCCCAGCTGCTCCCACCTCCCTTGTGTTGAGTTTGTGTCTTCTCAGATTTATTGTCGCATGATAGTTCCCTAAAATATCTTAGTCCAAAGGCCTCAGGGTAACTTCAGCAGCTGAAATAGCAGCTGCTGGCTTAGCTGTGAGCTGGAGATGGGCGTGAGAGCAATCACATAGACACATGGGGTGGGGACAGCCAGGGGGGACCCCCAGCTGCTGGCTATTTTGTGACTAGCACAGGCAGCTGCAAAAGCAGACACCAGTCCTTGACCTTCGTGACACTCAGTGGAAGATGCTGGGAGGGCACTGGGACAGCAGTCAAACCAGATGGAGAGCTAGGCCAGCATCTTGCCCTGCGCCGGCCCCTGCACCCAGCAGAACATCTCCCCTCCCACAGAAGGGTGGTGGGCAGCGCGTTAACCATGTGGTCACCTCGGCAGGTACCTGTCCCACACTGAGCTGGCCCCACTCCGTGCCCCTCTCATCCCCATGGAGCACTGCACCACCCGCTTCTTCGAGGCTTGCGACCTGGACAACGACAAGTACATCGCCCTGGAGGAGTGGGCCAGCTGCTTTGGCATTAAGGAGCGTAAGTACTGAGTGGGGAAGGAATGGGGGTGGAGGGGACACCAAAAAGCACCCCCAAAGCCCCCACTCAGGCTGAAACAGTGCATTTGGGGTCCAGGCTGCCCAGAGAGGTTGTGGAGTCTCCTTCTCTGGAGATATTCAAAACCCACCTAGATGCCATCCTGTGCAACATGCTTGAGATGTACCTGCTTTGACAAGGGGGTTGGACTAGATGATCTCCAGAGGTCCCTTCCAACCCCCACCATTCTGTGATTCTGTGATTACAGCCAGTCCTGGGGAAGGAAAAGCAGGGGAGAGTAGGGAGGGAGGATCACAGGAGCAGTGGGAGCCTGGGAGCATCTGGGTCTGGGACAGCATCCGCCTCCTAACCTCGTCTCTCTCTTTTCCTTCCACAGAGGACATAGACAAGGATCTTGTGATCTAAACCCCCAGCTTCCTTCTCTGCTGCCAACTTTGTCTTGTTTCAACCTTCCCACTTCCTTCAGTTTTTAAACGGCTTTTGTTTTGTTTTTTTTTTCCCTGGGAACAAGGTGCTAATATAGATCTAAATATAAGTAGTAACGGTGCTAAGAGAAATAACAGTCCTCCTTCATAGCCTCATCTATTACCACTAGATTACTCACTCGGCTGTTTCCACAAGCTCTTACCAGCCCTTTCTCTCTGACATGTCTTTACCATTGACTGACCCTGTTCCTGGCCTAAATATCCGCTCCATCTTGGTATCCGCTCTCGGATGGACTTCTCTTAACTTCTTACTAACAGCAGGTTCTTGGACACGTCAGCGTAGATGCAAAGACCTCTCAGCTGATCCACCACCCCCAGTTACAGATCGCCAGCGAGGGAAGGCAGAGCCAGAGGATGTAGGAGGATTGGGCTTTTTGAGCAGAGCAGCTGTTGGTGACATTGTGGTCACCCAGCTTATGGTAGGGGGGATGAAGAGGGGTGAGAAAGACATAGAGTGGCAGGATTTCAGGTTTTGTTTTCCCCTTTTTTGTTTTCCCCTTTTCCAGGGCTTGAATTTAACAACCATTGAGCACAAAAAAAAAAGGGGGGGGGGGGGGCTAATCAAAGAAATGAATAGGAAAGCACACAAAAGTTAAAACAGATAAAATGAATACATCCCATCCTGTAAAATCCCCTCAAAAAATAAAGGTTTGAAAGTGCGACGTGCTTTACCATTACTCAGTGACCGTACTGCTGTCGTGTTTTCTGTGCTGCGAAGGGAGATGGGGCGCGATCGCCTGTTCCCCGGGAGCGCGTGGGGCTGACCTTACTGTTGCAATTCTGCTGGAGCAGAGATAAAGCTCTTGGCTCTCCCCAAATCACCGTGCCCTTGATGAGCACCTCCAACCTCTGCCTTGGTTGTGCTGAAATTCCAGCCCTGATCTCCCAGGGAAGCTGTGTCAGGTTCAGAAGGGACATTTCTGCTGGGAAAGAAGCCACACGCTCGAGGGAAAGGCTGTGATATTTTTTTTCCTGTTGTGGATTTTGGGGTTTAAGAGATGGGTGGGAGGGAAGAGAGAAGGTATTTGGATTTTACTTTATGGAGAGAGTCCTGACAGGAGCGAAGGGATGGTTAAGTCTCACAGGCTGAGAACTCTTTTTTTTTTTTTACCTCTGAACGTTCCCTGTGCCTTTTATTATTAAACTTCTGCCACAGTGTGAGCAACCTAATGAGTCTCTGTAATAAAAAAATACTGATTTGAAACACTGATAATAAATGAGCTTGCAGTGTTCCTCTGTTTGATCCCATCCCCATGAGGGTGGTTGCATATGCATCACCAACTCCACACAAGCATTCAGGGTGTCACACAAACACCCCAGCACCAGGGAAAGGTCTGGGCCAGAGTGAGCTGAGGTGTTTCTGTCAGGCACAACCTGTCACCTCACTGTAAAGGGGCTGGTTGGGGGACACCAGGTGGGTGATGCATGGGCAGGTGTAGCTGGAGAGATGAAGGCAGAGAGGGTCACTGCAGCAGCCAGCACAGACACTCCCATGGCTCTAAGGCCCTTGCTTTCATGAGCAATAAAATCCTTGGGAAAGGCCAAAAGGCACAACAGTAAAAAATAAACATTGCCATTTGCCTGAGCTAAAAATATCCATGCTGCAAGAGCTCAGGTTAAGCTGTGGTCCCCCTGTCACCAGCCCCTTGTTGATGTGCTGGGCTCCAGACACAGCTCTGGGGCAGCTCCTGCGCAGGTGGCTCCCACTGCAGAGCCCTGGGCACGTCCCATGGGGACCGTCACTTTGCAGGTGCTTTGCCAAACTGAGCACAGCGGGAGAGCCGTTGTCCTGAGGACTAAGTGAAGGTTTTTCACCCCTGCCTTGAACCTCAGGGCTCATTCCACCTGGCCATGCTGCTTCCTGGAGCTGTTAGCCAGAGAGGGGTTTCTCAATGGAGAGACAGCGAATGCTTCCCCACCTCGGGGGCTGCCACTGGGATGTGGCAGGCTTGGCAAAGTGAGGGACACAGCGAGGGACACTGCTACCCATGACTCGCACCTGCAAGACCCAGCTGGCAGCAGCAGCCGTCAGCTGCCAAACAACCTCCCTGCCAGGAGAGCTGGTGCAAGAGGGTTTAGGCAGGGGGGAGAAGAGGAAGACAGGTGAGGACTGGAGGAGATCAGCCACCCTGTGAGAACCTGCTTGCCAGTCGCTCCCTCTCAGCCAGAAACTCCGCTCGTGCTCCTCCGCCAAGACACAGCCGTGTTCCTCCAGCTCCAGCCCTCCTGGCCAGCACTGCCAGACAGACTGAGGCAGCTTTGCTCCCATCCGAGGGAAGGCTTTTCAGCCCTCTTCTCCTCTGCCTTCCCCTCTTGGGCAGGAATTGGCTCTGAATCCCAGCAAGGTCAGGAAAGTCAGCAGGCTCCATCAGGAGAGCTGGTTATCACAGCTCAGGAAGGCAAAGGGATTCATCTCTAAGGCCATGTCCCATCCCAGGGGACCATACTCATGTTCCATCCCAGGTGAAGATATTCATGTCTCATCCCAGGGGTCCATCCTCATGTCCCATCCCAGGGGATGATATTCAAGTCCCAACAATCTGGCAGAGCCCAGAGGACCCAACTCAGGGCTATTAGAAGTGCAGCTGTCCTGGCTTTAACTGAACATCAAAGCCAGCTCAGGAGGTTGCAGCTGGGCCTCCCTTAACCCTTCAAAGGTCACAGCCTGAAATATCAAATCACTGGAATTTCACTGCCTTGGGGTAAATGCCATACATGGGGTTACATCAGGACTTGAGGAATAAGTTGGCCTTTTTAAACATTCCGACCTAGCCGGTCAGCAAGGGTGGAACAGAACAGCCCTTTCCCTGTTACAGCCGAAACGGAACCTTCCAGTGCCTGCACAGAAGTAAAGAAACTCGCCTGTACTTTCCAAGTGGAAATTCTCCCTGTGGTTAGTGCTGACTGAGGACACAGTCTGCAAACTTGGGAAAAAAAAAAATAAAGGAAATAGAAAAATAACAGAGAGCTCTGGATCTAAAAGCAGCCTGACACAAGCACAATGTGACCCCAGAGCTGCTGTAGAGGTGCTTAATTTTGCTGTTGTTATTCAGGGCAACACCACAGAGCAGTTGGGTGAGCATTGTCCTGCCTGCTTTCAACAGAGAAAAGAGGGGAAAGACAAAGATTTGTGTAGAGATCAGTGCTTTTCTGTCTGTTTTCCTGACCTTTAACTTTTACAAAAGATACAAACTGTGGTATAAATGCTGCATTAAGATTGGTGGCTTAAATATTCAAAATGCAAGTGATGCAAAAAGGTGACAAGCCAGGCTCACTGGGACTACTCCAGTCACATGCCTACTATAGACTGGACTCCAGGCTCAGCATCTGCAAGGTGTAGCTGTACCCAGAGATGCTTCTGCTTCAGCTAATGGTGCTACTGGAAACGCACTGGGTTAAACCCACCCCGATATTTCACATTTCATGCCTTATTAGCTAAAATCAGTTGTGCAAAGGAAGATCAAAGCACATAACTGAGGGCTTTGACCCATGTTCAGCTGGTTCATGGTAGTGGAGGTGACAGAGTCCCTGTTTCCAGTGGGTTTTTTTTGGAGTTATGCTCCCAGCAGTTAGGTATCTCTCCCAGCAGTTAAAGCACACCCAGATTTGCTGCTGATGGGGGAAATCTCACCATGACCTGCTGGGTGTGGCACAGGGTGGGTCCCACTGTGCTTGGTGGGGATGGTGTCAGGACCACCTCCATCCCTCCTGTATTGGGTTTGCATGGCAAGGTTTTGGTAGTGGGGGGGCATAGGGGTGCCTTCTGCGAGAGAAGCTGCCAGAAGCTTCCCCCCATGTCCGACACAGCCAATGCCAGTGGCAGGCTCTATTGAACTGCCTTTTGTCTCAACCCACAAGTTTGGGGTTTATTTTGTTCCATCTTATTTACTCCCCTCCCCATCCTGCTGAGGAGGGGGGTGATAACAGTG